CTGAGAATTCTATACTGTACCAAATGTATAATATTGAATGAAGCCACTAATGTAAAGCCACTTAATATAAAAACCTAGGAATTAGTTCAATCATTGAGATTTCTATATCAAAATTCTTTCTTTATTATTAAAGCAATTCCTATTCTGAATATTTTGTTTATTATTGGATTAACAAGATAATATCTAGACTAAGGAAATCCTACTGACTAAAGTGTATCATCATTATTTAATAATGAGAAAACCTTACTACATTGTCTATTCACAGCCTACAGGTCACATTACGATTTGATAAATAGGATTCCATTAAGAATTAATATTGAAAGCATATGATAATTGCTATTACTAATTAATACCACTTTGAATATTTGTTAATATTTAATGGTATTACTTGAATTTACCCTTCCAATGTGCCTTTATTCGATAACTTTACATCAATTTCAAAATTATTATCTCTTTAGTAGAATTTTGTTTCTGTTGATTGTTTGCATATGATACTCGCTTTCTAAATTCATACTTAATTATCTATCTACCTATCCATTCATATGTAAAGAAAGGTGTGTAAACTTGTGCTGATTTTGTTTATTTAATTAGGTTAATCGTGATAAGAAGTTATATAGATTTAAAATATTTAATTTCATTCTTTATATTTTACTAGAAAGAGAATCCAACCTCATAAATGAAATGAAAAGAATATTGTATCATTATACTGTGGTAACACAACAACAAAAGAAAACAGGATAAAATAGATGAAATCAAATTCTCTTCTTCTCTCCCATATCGGTTTGATGGAGTGTGTATATGTGTGTGTCCCGTAAAATGAAGAGGAAATCAAAATGGAAAACACTACATGTCGAAAAAAATAACTATAAAATAAATATTGCTAGTGTTATCCTATACTGTTTCTTTTTCTATTTCATTCTATGAGAGTAAACAAAGAAATTTTAAGTTGTTGCTTTTTTTCTCTATTTCGTCTGGTATCTATTTGTGAATTCGGTCATTTATTTGACTTTGTGTTTTACATACTGACTTTTTATCATCTAGAATAAATACGGTTATTCTAAGCATGTCTATGCTAATAATATATAGATATAGATAAATCTAACTAGTATATATATACTATAATTGATACTGGTTTATCTAATATGCAAATTAGACTGAAAATGGTTGAAATTGTGAACGGACTTCAACAAGTGAACCGTTGAAAATCAGAGAACAGTTGATAACTAACATAGGATTCTTCAGAAGTGCTCTTTTACTTAAGAACCTTAGTTGTTATGGAAATGACATTATCATTAGAATACTGATATAGAACTAACTTTCCCGTATTTTCAACTTTAACTGATTCAATATAAGTTGAGTAATTTAAGTAAAACTTCATACACTAGTGGATTATTTGTAGTATAACACTTACCATTATTTGACTACTTAAAGTAGATCAACAAGAAAGTTTTATTTCTTAAACCGAAAATTCAGTGGTTGCTTTTCAAATGACAAACTGAACTAGCGACAGGTTGATGCATTTTATCGTTGTCATCAATATCATCATTACTGATGTCATCGTTTGTTCTCTATTGAAACCATCAAAACATAAAAAAAGACAATTGAATATACGTATTTTTTGTATCTACATATATACCATTTGTCTGTACATGTCTGTTGTTCATCTTATTTCGTTGACCTCTGACCATATCTGGTTGACCTTACTCTCGTAGACTGAAAATTAAGGCGTAATAATATCAGATTGAACTGAATGTATTACTTTTAGAAATTCTCTGACACTATTTAAATCTCCTCGATTTCGAATTATAATAGTTTCTCAATTGAATTTGTGTCGATGCTCGTGGAATGTTCAAATAACTCGGTACGTGAACAAAAAGCTTTAATGATGTTATCAGAAAAAACCAAGTCTCATAACTGAACCCCCTAGCTCAAAGAATACGACACCCTAAAAGATAAAAATGATTGTTTAATTTTTCGTACAGCTAATGTAAGAGAACTTTAGTAAGGAACCATTAGATGTTCAAATAAAACCATCGAATCAATGAGTGTAACAAATTATTTAGGGGAGGAGCTCTTTGAGTTTCGTCACGATCACGAACCGACATAAGGCATACAATCCCGCAAAACCTTGGAGCACTGGATGACCGTTTCGTCTCCTCAGCAGTGAGCATTCACGACTTCCACACACAGAACTCGAACCTCTAGACCACTGGGCCGGCATCCAACGGTGTTGATGTCCAATGTTAATCAATCTACGATATTAAGCGACCACCTTCCATTGTGTTCGGTGGATAACTGCCTCACACCCGATACAGTCGAACTGTACTAGTCTTTTCTACCGTAAAAGCTAATTAAGCTCAGCCGGTTTTTTTAGTATGAGCTTACAAAAATTAGTTCCAGTGTTTGGTTTAATTAATTCTTTTATCCTAGATAACTATCGAACAGTAAACAACCATTGAATAGGAAGTTTTTTAGAAAATAAAATTTTTCAGTTGTAAAAGGTGATCCATGGAATCCCAGCTCATAACTATCTTAAATAATTCTGCAGTAATCGGCCATATGATGATTAACTTACTGTCAAGTAATAGTTGAGCAATCTATCGGATATATTCCTTTATCAAATCATTTATAGGGAATTTTAAGGCCGAATCTATTTGGATAGTTTGTGAACCATAATATCGTTGACACTTTTATGGATAATTTTTTAAACAAACTATAGTACTTAGAACAAACTAACCACTGGGAAGAAGTTTACAAATGAAGTTAAAAAAATATTGTTTATTTAATTCTAATGACAGAAAATGAACATAATCACACGTTCGAAGTGATTTCCATCCCCCAACTGAAGAAAATAGTGTACAATTGCTTTACTACAGTTTTTTTGAGTTTTCAACAGTACGAAGTGATGACTTTGTACATGTAATCGAAACTAAGATACCTTTTTATTTAACTATAAACATGAATATTTCAGACAATTGAATAGAAATTAAATTCATATAAAGTCACTAGTTTGATTGCTTCTGAGCTTACCTTTAAGTGATAAGAATATTCACTTTTATATAGTATAGAATATATTCTTTACGACAACCTTGATAACTTATTGCAGATATTTACTTTAAAAAGAAAACAAAAAGAGTAGGAAACAAATTCGTTATCACTTTTCAATTAGTTTCATTCAAACTAAATCATCTATACAACGCCCCCAAGTGCCCTGGTACGGCTGAGAGTGGGGAGAGTCCGTTCTCCTTCTCGAAATACTCTCACATGGCCATGTGTATATAGCCTCTGACAGGGAAGTCCTACTCACTGCCTTCTCGTGGCACCGGTGTTGTTTACGAAATTGAGAGGACGAAAAGCGAATGTCTGGCGCTTTAACCGGGTTGGTGGACACAGTCAGTCCACTTAGGGGAGTTGGAAAACCCTGATTCCAGACCAATGGTGCTCATGAGCTCCAGTATCCTGAAGGAACTAATGGCGTAGGAACCAATTGTTGGTCACCCGCTACCATGGGACTGCATCTCCTTACGATGCTCCACTGCCTTGTGGATCAGATCTTTAGGTCAAAAGCCCTCTAAGAAAACCACCTGCTTCAGTTTGGGCACCTGGGCTGTATCACAGCCCTCACACAAATCAAATGAGATTTGTGCGGCGCATATGTATCTGGTGCCCCCTTGTACCAATATGTATGTATTCAAATAAATACATAAAATAAATCGACACAACAATGAATGAATCAATAATCAGTGATAACATTATTTTCTTAAGTGAAATATTTACGTACTGTCAAATATTAGAAAAAACGCATTAAAATTTCTTTCAGTTTTTCTCTACGGATATCTTTCTTCTTGATTTTCAATGTATCTATCTATTTTCAATTTATGTTGACAATTAAATTATTTAATTATAGGAAATTATTAATAATAAATAAATAAAAATTTCATCATAAAATTGCGCAGTTATATCATTCATGAAATTTTGATGAAATAATGTCATTTGAAAGCCAAGGGAAAACATACTACTGATACTGCTAATACTACTACTACTATTAGTAATAGTAATAATAACAAACAACTGAACAATTTTTCTGCGGGTTATTTAATAACTATAAAATAAGAAAATGACTTAAATTTTGTTTTGTTAATAAAAACAACAGAAGAAAGTCATGAACGTCAACATTTTTCTTATCCTGTTGATGACTACCTGTTCAATGGTAATAAAATGAAGCATTTTTATGCCAACTAAAAACAAAACAAAAATTAAATTAAATAAGGAACAGGAAAATTTCTTTCTGAAATTTTTAAAATGATTCTCATTCTCTTCTCTTGATACATTTACCGATTGTCATATATACAGTACAGTAATAAGTAGTGTTGTTTATATGTGTTTATTGTGCATATATGTGCATATATGTATATATATATACGTCCTTTTTATTGTTTCATTGTTGTTGAGATAAAAAAATAAAGTAGGAAAACAAATTTAGTCAAGATTGTCTAAAATGTGTAACAAGTTTCTTTGATATCCCTATTTTGTGATAGTTTAGTTATCCTTTTTTATATATAGTTGTTATTATCACAATGAATAACGTATTGTTAGTAGTACAATTTGATTTCAGTCTTTTTTTTCCAAAAAGAAAGGCTTGAGAATTCAGGGGTAGATTGAAAAGTGCTCAAAGATCAAGAAAGATAGAAACAAGAATAATGATAGAATAATAAGAGTAGCTGTCAAAAGACAACAACATGTATCCTATCAACAATTCATTAAACTATACATGAATGAATTAGATGAATAAAAACATGGGACTCTTTTGATGATTACTTTATTGGCATTGTCTTATGTATTAGGTTTGAAATTACATTTTAATGGCATGATGGCATAGGATAGAGTCAAGTATAAACTTGTGATATTATTAGGTTAAATGTCAAATGGTTTAATCAGTCAGTCAACTGATTACTATATATACTTCAGAAATTAAACTTAATAGGTAGTATTTGATATATTTAATGAATCTCTTCTATTTTTGACTTTATTCTACTGAAAATATGTTCAACCATATGAGTTTCTAATTCGCTACGACTTGATAGCGGAGTATTACAGTAATTGCATTGTAATGAAATTTGTTGACTAATTAACTCATGTTTAATATTACACATGTTATTTGTAGTATGAATATTGTCATTACTGTAGTTAGTTGATGAGTTATATGTTGTTGAGAGATTTAAATTTATCTTATTTGATTCAGTACAGTCTGTTGAATTTGGTGATTCAACATTGATGATAGTTTCATCAAAGTTCAATGTTAAATTATTATTATTCCTTGTTATCTTATTTTGAGTTTGATAATTATTATTAAAAGAATCTTCAAGTATTGCTTGAACAGTAAAAGTTGGTTTTCTTATGCAGTTAGAATTAATTACAAACTGATTACATCGGTTCCCTTGCTTTTGATGAAATACCATTGAGTTCAATTCATTCTTAGATAAATTGTTTAAATGTATACTATTGTTTAATAATTTTGCATTGGTAGTCAGTTTTTTAGAATTATGATAGTATTTTCTCTCTGTAAAATATCTACAATTATTTGATGTTGAAAATGAGGAGTGACTTCCTATAGCTACTTGGTTGCAATGGTTTTCAGGTTTCGGTTTATGCCAACGTCTATGACTTGCAAGATTAGCTGGACAACTGAATACCTAAAATAATTTATAAAAACAGAAAAGAAATGAACATATATGCATGGTTAAATATTACAGGTGAATCCATTCGACATTTTTAAAAAGTGGTTTATTTTAATCTTCTGTAATGCAGTTATATTTGAAACTTTTTTATTACTTGAGGCATCCTAATTATGCGCTCGAATGTAAATAAATAGACGCCGTGGTCTTTTTTTATAAAGTTGAAATATATATAAACAGCTTGGTGATTGACTAGTAACCATGACTATTAACCAATATTAGATTTATCTACTCCTCAATTTTGAACAAATTCCACCAAATTTTTGGAAGTCTAACTATTAGCACGACCGATTTGACTTCTCAGTCACGTTTGGTTGTTTAATGGTTAAAGGTATTTAATAGGGAATCCTGAAAATGAATTTAAAAATCTCGTTTAGCTCGATGGATAAGGTTCTAAATTATACTAGAATATATCAAATCAATGTAAAGAGTCATGCATTAGTACTCAAAATAAACGCTTAACAATTTATAGGAAATGTAAGTGTTAATTAATAACTTCAATAAGGCTGATGGCTATGCTTTAAAATGATAATTCTAACCACTAGCTGACATCAGTTAAAGTATTATGGAATAACAGAAAACAACTAATAAGTGTTTTGTTTCAATCTAGAACTTTTCAAAATTATGCCCCCCCCCTAACGCCGCTAACCTGGTTGAAACTATACACCAGAGCATACAGGCATAAACACAAAGTTTTAATTCAAGTTTCTGTCAATTAACTGAATAACGATATAATTATCCAAGGTTACTTGTTTCATATCATTTCATTGCATCTAATTACTTGATAGATTTCACTAGAAACTATGAAAGTTGACTAGAGGTAAAGAAGAATGTTTCAAGTATTTATAGCGTTATTAAAATGATCATTGAAAGAAGGGACCAGTAACACTAAATACCATGATATAATTAAATTGTAATTTTGAATTTTATAAATAGTAGCCTAAATTAATGTTTATATATTATTAACGATTTGGAATTTCTTTGCTTCCATTAATATTTCAATAAAGCCATTTATAACTATTGCAATAAATCTAGTGATTTCAGTATTTGAAGAAAATTTGATTACATCATTAGGTCAAGGTATCTACTGTTTATCAAGACATGTAAAGTCATACTATCTAAACTAAAATCTGACCAAATATAGATCATTATCATGTATATAGAGGAAATAGTAATGTTGTGTACAATTACAGTACAACGAATCAGTTTGTGCTTACCATAAAAATTTATTTTCATTCTAATCAACTGGGAAAGTTATCTTATGTAATACATATTGATGAAATGTAGTAGTTTTCAACAGATCATAGAAACATGTTAAATTTGTGATTACATAATTGAGTAAGATGGCCTAAATACATCCAAGATTACATGGTATTTCGTTATACTAAGTAGGGCTAATTACATTTTTCTGAAAAGAAACTTGAATTCATTAGTTGTAACTAATGGAAACCTTGAACTTTGATTTTGTTGCCTATTGAAGCTTACAAGCAATACTTACTTACTGACGCCTGTTACCCCTCGTCGAGGAGCATAGGCCGCACATTAGCATTCTCTATCAAACCCTGTCCTGGGCAATTCTTTCCAATTCTTTCCAGTCACCATTCATCCTTTTCATATCTGCTTCTATTTCCCGGCTTCTCTTTCCTCTTTCTTTCGGAGATTTCCTCAATGTATGTACTATCCACTTCCAACGTCTTTTCCTAATCTCCTCTTCAGCTGGAAACTGGTTTGTCCTCTCCCACAGAAGGCTATTGCTTATATTATCCGGTCAGTGAATTTTGAGTATTTTGCGTAAACAACTGTTTATAAGTACTTGTGCCTTCTTGACGATGAATGTAGTAGTTCTCCACATTTCAGCTCCGTACAGTAGAACTGTATGGACGCCCGTACTGAAGATTCTCACTTTGAAATTAGTTGACAGTTGTTTGGAGTTCCATTCAATTGTAGGAATGCGGTCCTTGCTTTGCCCATCCTCGCCTTTACATCTGTATCAGATCCTCCTCGTTCATCAATGATGATTCCCAGATACGTGAATGTTTCTATATCTTCCAGAGTTTCGCCATCAAGTGTGACTGGGTTGGTGTTCTCCGTGTGGTATTTGAGAATCATGCTTTATCCTCTGTGTATGTTGAGGCCTATTGATGCAGAGGCTACTGCTACATTAGTTGTCTTCGTTTGTATTATCTGTCATCTTGAAAGCGACAAATAAGATTGTTCAATAGTTTGAAACTTCGCTAATTAACATCAAATAAAGAATGTGTAAATCAATCTATAAGCCAGAATTAAAAGTTTAAATCAGAGTATAACACTCTTTACTATGTAGTAACTGGTTTGTATAAATTGATGCCAACTTATTCTAATATCACATCAGCATATTTTTATTCATTCATGAATGTAAAATAAAGATTTAAAAATAGACAAAGTTCACAAACATTAATCTTATTCAAGTTCACTTGATATTGTTTGTTTTGATCTTCCCATTGATGTTTGGGACTGCAATTGATCAGTCTCTTATTGACATATGTGCATACTGTGTGCATTGCCTCGACATAGCCTTAATTCACAAGCACATATGCCAATAAGAGACTGATCAATTGAAGTCCTAAACATCAATGGGAAGATTCAAATAAACAATACTAAGTGAATTTAAACTTCACCCCATTCCACAAGCAAGTGGCTATCAGGACTCAGTAGCTGAGTGGATAACGCGATGGCGTCTGAAGCGAAAGGTACTGGATTCGAGTCCCAGAGTGAACATCGACTCTGAGATGCAGGCACATCCAGCTGACGAGTCCCAGATAGGATGAAACGCTCGTCTTGGATTCCACTGCTAGCCACTATCCATTTTTGCTTATGATTAATCTTATTCGCTGATTATTCAGTAGTTTAAGTCATTATTCGCAAATATTTAAATAAATATTCACGCCTTATAATAGTTGAGAGAAAAAACACTACTCAGTAGTGTCTTTAGACTTTTATCCAATTTTTTTCTATTAAACAGCTGAAAACTTTGTACTTTACTCAAGTCAATAGATTGAACCTAACCTATAACAGAAAAAAAGATGAAAGTATAATTTTATTTAGGTATTAGTTATTTGAGAAATTATTATTCGTGTGTTCACAATTTAGATTTAATTTACTAATAATGTGGAAATATATTAAAGCATTTATACAAATTACAAAATGACTTCATTAATAAAAGTGAAAGTCAAACATGGTTGTAATATTGTTTACTAATAATATGGTAATTTAATACAAACATTTGGGTCCTAGAGAATGATACTCGTCAGCTAAAAAAACAACTTAACATCAGTACCTCTGATTTATTATTTAGGGGATACATATTTGGATCTTATCAAGAGTATCAATCCCTTTAAAACCTTCTTACTATATAAAACATATTCATGGCTACATGCTCATTTTTTTCAACCATATGTCATCAAATAAGATGAACTGTGATGTCAGATCATAGACATCAATGACTAAATTACTACATAGTCAATAGAATTGCAGTCTATACTATAAAGTAGAGAATATCCTATTATGAAATACTCAGTGAATAATTATTATTAGACAAATAGCAGAAACTATCACATTTCGCTATGTTGTATTCATCAGTTTGTGTGTATGAACATGTATGCATAAGTGGAAGTAATCAAACAATGAATCTAGGGTTAAAGAAAAGTGCAATGAAACGGTTATTTACCTAACACAAATAACTATCCTTTTTCATAACAGAATGTTTAAATGTAACAACTCACAAAATTGATCTTAAATAGTCTTTTGAATTTTTATTTTAAAATTGTGAAAAGATTTGTTTGTTTTTATAGTGTACTCTTCTTCTTCAAATCAATATTAATCACTAATTATTGATTTAATTTTCCATATGACATGCTCTGACAACTAAATATACTACTTATATTAAAGTGTGTGTTGTACAATTACATAATTTATTTTGAACACTTTAGTTATTGATGATTTAAGAAAGTAGTGTATGTTTTTTAAAGTTAATATTCATTCTGAAAGTAGTAACATTTTAATTATCAATTGGAATGTAAGAATAGAAAAGTACTGACTCTTAAAACTCAGTCTCAGGAGTTTTAATGTTTACAAACTTTTACAAAAAACTCATTGTAATGACAATTTCAAATTTGTATTGTATATTTTTACCATTATTTTAGGATGATGGTTGACTGGGATTGATTGGAAAAATTTCAGGTTCACATTAACTTTATTTCTGTATGATCGGAATTTGTAGACAATGTGCTAATGCACTTTTGTCTAAACCAAAACGATTTCGTTTTAATATTTATCGGAAACTTCGAATCTAGTTTTCGTTACTGATAATAAACACATTGAGGAACTCAACTAACTGCATCACAAGACAAGCCCTCACATGAAATCTTGAGGGTCAAAAGAAAAGAGGAAGACCAAAAAACACATTACGCCGAGAAACGGAGACAGACATGAGAAGAATGAACATAAATTGGATAGAACTAGAAAGGAAGGTCCAGGACAGAGTGTGTTGGGGAATGCTGGTCGCTGGCATATGGTCCGTTGGGAGTAACAGGCGTAAGTAAGTAATACATAATTAGCAACCTTGGTTAAATTTAAACTTTTAAAAAGTACATATATGATGTAGTGTTATTATTATCATTATTATTAAAACCCTAGACTATATAACATGTAATGGTCATCATCATACGGTAATTTCTATAAACACTTTCATTATATTCCACGTTCAGCCTAGGATATCAGGAAGTAAATTGTATTCAGAGACTTCAACAATACTGGTTAGTATTTATTTAATGGTAACTTATACTTCTGAAAATCAGTGAAAAATGGAGTTCCTCAAACCGATGTTTCTAATCCTCTCCTTACTTTATATAAATGATTGACCGGATGATTTTGAAGTATACATAAATATACCAAGTAATGATAAGATTGCAGAGAGGCTTGCATCTGTTGATTCAGTAGATAATTGAACAGTCACTAGAATTTAATGAAATTGAAAAAGTGTTGTGACAGAAATCGGTCATGATGACGGTAATTGCTGTGAATAATATTTGAATAATTAAAGGATTTCATTCAAGACTGATTGACTTGACATCACTCTGTTCATTGAAAATGATCAACAGAGAGATATAGACTTAAGTTACCCCCTAGGGAACTTCTGTTGCCAATATTTATGTGATTGATGCTCTTTGAGAGGATAAATACTTGACGAAACCACTAATAATAAATCTCTTCGGGGATATAAGTTACCACAATGTGCGTATTATGGTTACCTATACTTGACATTTTCTTAATAAGTACTAAACATATTCTCTGTTTAATTAGGTGGTAGGTAGGTAGGTAGGTAGGTACTACTGCCCACTCTCATCATATTACAAAATAGATGTATACTATGTTTTGGTTTTGTTTTAAATGCTATCTAATAGCTGAGTACAGTGATCGGTATTCCGTTTTCAACTGTATGTATGTATGTTTGTAAGGATAATAAATAGAACTATAAACTGACTTCTTAAACTGATGTAGGTCAAGCGAGAAATAGATATTCTACGCAATTCATAAGCCAAGTGTATGATACTTATGAATAGACAATTTATAATGAGTATTCACTGAAAGTTGTTTTCATGAGTAATGCCATTGTTCTGTTAAAATAGGTTAACAGTTGAATTCATGAATCGATTAAATCTATACCACCATGGAAAACCTTTAATCGACTCATGAATTCAACTATTAAATTACTACAATATCCACAAAACCCCCTTTCTGATAAAATAAGATAAATTAAATTAGATGACATTCCATTAACTTTTTTTACCTTATCACATTCAGGACAACGATAATCAGTATGAAGTATTAATGGACAACGATGATTAGCTAACTTGAGTGCATTTTCGAAATATTGATTACAAAGTCGACAAATATATGGTCCTAAATTATTTGGTAATTTCGCTAAACGTTTTAAGATTTTTTGTACGGTTAAATGTTTAGGAATATTTGTTTTTATATCTATTGAATCTACTGATAGTGATGGTGACGATGAATTTGATGATGTTGCTGTTGTATTTGTCAACGTTGTCAATGGGGACATGGATAACTTATTCGATAAAGATGTAAAAGATGATGAAGAAAATAATGATAATGTTGTTGATGGTTGAACGTTTTTAAAAAAATCTTCATTCATTCTTGAAATCGATAACTTTGATCGTGAATTAATAGATGGATCATGTTGTGTTTTAAAGGAATCACAATTGGATAAAGGAAAAGATGATAATGTTTGGAAGTAAGTTTTAATAAAATCATTTGATTTATACTGTGAATTATTTGCTGTCCAACAAAAGTCATTAAAACAAGGATATTTAGAAGTGGAGTTCATGGGATTAGTTGTTGATGAATATGATTTCGAATTTAAGTTTTTATAGGAACTGATTATTGGTGATTTAAAAGAACATACAGTATTTGGTTCCACATTTGTTATATTTTGATGATCTTGAAGTGAATCATAATTCATAAATTCAACGGTATTATTACCAATGTTGCTACCACAACTAGTATTACTACTGACGAAGGATGTAGTATGATGCAATTTGTTCATGATATGTCGAGTATATCCATCTAATAACTGTTTGTATGTATTGAAAAAATTAATAATTTTCGTTTGCGTTTCCAAATTGTGATTAGCATTACCATAATTAGATTTGAAATTGGGTTTAAATGACATTGGAAAATAAGCTTCAATTTAATTTAACTAATATTAATCTTGTTAAGAGGTATAGTTCTGTTAAATATTTACTGTATCTAGGTAATTTTGAAGGACTGAAATAAGATTTTATTCATAAAACATTATCATTTGGATGACTATAGTGAAAATTATCAGGACAGGATGATAGGAAAGATGCTAAAGAGGGGTTTGTAAAACGCGTAGTAACAACAGCCTATCTAGTATATAATAATGACTTAACGTTCTAATATTTCTAATTGAAGAGATTCCTGTTTATGTTATCCGACAAAATTCTATTTAACTTTTCAAGAATAAGCCAATTGAAATTTCTGTGACTGAATAATACGAAAGGTATGAGATTGAAAGGGAAAAATCATTTCTCCAATGACTATAAACCTTAGGAGTGGAAAATTGTCTGTAATGGGTTGAAAAGCAGGACAGTTAGTATTTTATTTAAAAAATTTTTTATCTTAGCGAAATAATGTAAGTCATAAATACTGTATGTATATGTTTGTCTAATCATTCATTTTATCAAGCCAACATTGACCTGTATATAAGTGTGTCTGTAAAGTGTTCTTTAATGTTCTACCAAAGAAGGAATTGGATAGAAATATTAGTTAGCTACCTGATTAGCTTTCTTCAGAGAGAAAAAAATCTGCAGAATAGCAAAAATGAATGGGAATTTTCAACAGGAAAAAAAGCAATCAAATTTAAGGAATAAAATTGTCATAGACATAGGGGAATTTCTTTTTCCTAGAGAGTTAGATAGCCTAATTTTCTGCTTGAACAATGACAGCAATATTTCTAAAGTTTTACTTAATAAAATCCTTGTATTTTTATAAATCTTGACAGAATATGATCAACATTTAAAGACTAGACAGATATGACATTGGTTATAGAAGACGATAAAAGCTTTACGTTTAACCATCTTGCCCCGAAAGTGTATTACCATTGAAATCCTCTCTATGAGTTACAAGTCTTCTCCATTGTATAAGCCTAGAATATTAGTGTTATGGGAATGAAGGAATAGAATCAGTAAATAATAATAAATAGTGATATAACTAATATATTACATAATTTGCAATTATACATGCTGAACAATTAAGTTATGACATACGAAATTGAAAGGACACTACCATTTAAATACGATTCCATGCCAATTGATTTTTCATAAACCTAAATTGAATTAATTTATTTTAATTCCATGTGTTACCCAGTCTACATGAGTTGTACGAAAACTCGAAAAGATCAGATGAAGATTACTTACAACAGGAAACGGTGGAAAAATGTACAACGTCGACTTCGAAACGCCTCAACTTCTTTCTCTTTCTAATCTGGCAAATATTTACTTTTGAAAAACATTGGAGTTGCTTGATTACGGCGCGGGAAATCTTCACAACAAAATGGGAATCACTTCTAATTTTCAACATTGCGTAAAAGATGGCATTTTTAGTTATGTAAATACTAAGCTGAGGAACTTAGCACATGTGATCTTTAGAACTTAACTATATTACTACTCACTACAGTGGTTTGTGAGGAATTCATTGGTTTAAATAAATATTGCCGTTAAAAGCTATATTCTCTTGTCACCTGAATTTTCATTGGTTTTGTCACACTACTTATTTAGTGTGCAAGTAGTTCAAATGGATGAATAGAATTATCTCTTGTTTAACATAGTTTATATATTTGCACATTTAGTTTATTAAATACACTTTATTGTTTAAATAAACCGTATGATGAGAGTGACAAACTTGTAGCGATTTTTTGCCTGGAAGTACATTACTCTGAGGAGGTTAGAGTAAGATGGGTTATTTTTTTTAATAAACGTAGTCTTTAATTTCAAATAATTCTGTTTGTGAGTTCATTTATTGAACAGCGATTATCTACTAATAAAATTTTTAATCATATGTATATTGGTCACTACAGTAGAATCGTAATCCCAAGTCAGTATGTTGAAAATTTTAGTTGATTTGGAAGAAATTGACAGATTCCTTACCACTGGTCACTGAAACTTGGATATAAGTTCACACACACTCATATATTTTTTGTCCATTTATAGTTTACAACGTCTGATTTGTATTCCTCTTTAATAGCTTCACAGAAGTTTCCCTATCTAAGTGAAAAATGCTCGATTTCGAATTCATAAAATGTCACTTTACTTCAGTATGCTACGCAACAGTCTGTTCTCACCTAAAAATATATAATTTGGAATCTTAGATTTTAAGCAGTTTACAATTTAGCATTCATTGATGGTTATAAACTCTTATAATGCAAAAAAATATTAAACATTGGGTAGCAGAGCAGTTTATGGGAACAGTTAGTTGTTGAGCATTATAGAATGATTTGACTTATGATTTATTCCGACTTCCTGATCTTGCGAAATTTCTCTGCTAGCTATACAATTCGAATCACGTAATATTTTCGCTCATTTATATACCGTGTCATTTAAACAATAATTTAAATTACATTTAGTGTAATTTATATGATTTAAGGATATTCACCTTATAAGCAATATTTCTTTCTTCGTTTATTTTAATGTCATACTGTACACAACCTATATGTGGTCATATAAGATATAGATATTGTTTAGTACCATGGTATCCATATACAGTTTGAAGCTAACTTTCACGACTTTATATTTGCTAAATACTTTACATTCAATAACCTTAAAAAATACCTGTCGTAGCAGCTAATCTTAGTTTTCTATTTTAACGTTCATTTCGGAATTATATGTTTATAAAACTCAGATATATAAAACTCTCCTAAATTATATTCTTGATCTAACTTTGTTGACAAACTGAACTATCAATGGACTTGTCAGTCTATACTTATTAGATTCCATTGTCGAAGAAGCTTGAAGTGCGAGCTGAGGAAATTAATTTAGTTGTTAGTTATGTTAGCAGTCTTTTAAAGTTTTTTTGTAAGCTCTCCATCAAAAATAAAACTAAAGAAGCCTACTTCTTGAATAATGATTTTTGACAGGAACTCACAGACTTGAGTAATATTTATCAGCACTATTAAGTGAGATGCAAAATATTCGATATTACTGTGAATGTAGGGAAGTTAAAAAGATCATCTGCATCACTTGATAATGAATCTAATTCAGAGGATTTTATTAAAGTTGCATAGAGGTTATCTGTGAAGCCCCGGAAGAGCTTTTCGCCCTGCTTATAACTCATCAGCTGAATGTGCCTCCACCTCAATTATCATGTTCACATTCGAATCGTCTGGACCCAGCTTTGAAATGGTAATTACTGAGCTCAAGCCGAAATGTGAACGGAAATACTTCGGTGCATGTATGTCAAACTAACAAGTTTTAAATAATGCAAAACATGGTTAGCAGAGATGTGAATTAAGGTATATCGAGGCAATACGCACAGTATGCACATATGCCAATTAGAGACTGACCAGTTGCAGTCCTAACAAATCGATGGGAAGATTCAAACAAACAATACTAAGTTGAATTTAATGCAAAACATGTTTTTTTGGTCGCATTGCTATCCACTTCTAAACTGTAACAGAAAACTATAATTAAATGTCAATATCAAGGCTATTCAGAAAGTATAGACATATACCGGGAAAGAGTGATCAAAATCCGATCAACAATATCAGCTGTATGATAATTAAGCTCCTTCTAATATTCAAACAATCCTGAAAAAAAACACGTTGTTTATCACTACAGAATGGTAATATTTAGAAAGGAAATGAAATAGTTTTAAATAAACTTTTCAAACTCATTGGAAAGAGAGTAATATAAAGTTACACGAAAATGACACACATAGCGTGAATAGTTTTGGTACTATTTCCAGTTAGATTAGTTTACTAAAACCGATAAAGTCAGTAAAATATATATTAACTGTTAATGAAGACAGGTTTCTGTAACTATATTAAATTCATCATTGTGAAAACTATATTCCTAAGGTTCTGATGTAAATTATTATTTTTAAAATAGTCGATCACAGCTATTGATTAGGTCAGTTTACAATAACACCTAAAGAAACATATTAAGTTGGAACGTTTGTATTTTGGGTCTTTTCAGTTTTATTCAATCACATGGTATGAATAGTAACTATGATGATGTTCAATAAAGAACATCAACTATAGGATGCAGGTACATCCAGCTGACGAGTCCCGAATAGGACAAATCGCTCGTCTTGAGTTCCACTGCTAGACACTATTCATCTTTGCTTATGATGATTATGGATTAAGGCTATTTGGAGGCGATGCCCATATTATTCACAGACGTATCAATTGCAGTCCTAAACATCGATGGGGAGATTCAAGCAAAAAATACCAAGTGAATTTAAGAATATTAATAATAATTTTATCCAGTTTAAAGCATAAACTTTATTCATTAATAATTGAGGATTTGATTTAGTTTATAAGTGCATTGATATTTCATTATATAGTGAAGAGATCAGTTAAGCTTGATGGTAAAATAGTCCAATTAAGAATATGGAAGATAGAAGAATACCCAAAAATATGAATCAGTAACATAGGAAGTGCATAAAGTACACTTATATTTATTTGACACAGTTAATCAATATTTATTAAAAACAAGTTAACTAACCAGAAATTGTATTTAAGACTAAATGAGGAAATGAATGACTATCATAGTATATGGTGAATTGACTAGAAAATATAAGTCAGTGGATTTGAACTTAATGTAATACGTTTTATACAATATTTGAAACAAACTGAATTCAACTAGTAGTGAGGTTATAAATTGCTGAAACTAAAATGTAACATCTATTTTGGTATTTCTATAACTTTCTGTGTTTCTACAAAACCCCTTCTAATATTAATCAACATACTCTCACTAGTGACTGACTCCAAGAGGCATTTCCTGGAGTTCTAGTGAGAAGCAGTGACCAGTGGAGTTCAACCGGGTATGTTGCGAGATAGTCACTCACTGAAGACTATGGTGGATGCGTCGTTCAATTTCGTGGATTAGTTAAAGCTTGAGATTACCACCGTCGGATGCTGACTCAGTAGTCTAGTGGTTAAGCGCTGGCGCGCGAAACCGATAGGTCCTGGGTTCGAATCTCGCGAAGCGGGATCATGGATGCGCACTGCTGAGGAATCTCACAACTGGACGAAACGGCCGTCCAGTGCTTCCAGGTTTTCTATGGTGATCTAGCTTCAATCGACTCATGATCTCAACTATTAAAATTAAATTTTTTTAATAAAAATGTTTTAAAAATTCAGACAATATTCTTTGTCTGCTTTAAATATAGAATTAGTGATTAGATAGTTGATGAGTCAGTCAAAGGGAAAATGAAATTGTAATTAATAATAATTAGACAAGTCATTACTCAAATTGAACATATATACATCTATCT